GCTGCCGTAGCGCAAAGATGTCTGCCTCCATGGCTGCGAGACCCGCTCCTATGTAATTATAAATACCGAATTCTAAGGCAACGCAAATATTAAGGTTAAAAGGCTGAGCTCGTATATGATGATAAATAACATAGTTATGTATAATATATTACATTTCTGACTGTATATCCCTGTAATCATTACACACTGTAGCTTTAATATAAAATATAATCACAGACTTGGGATTTAAATATAAATATAGTAGTAACATAACAGGGATGGCATGTAACACAGAAAGAGAGAATTGTAGAAAAAACTTGAATTTAAAGTGAATTATTTATAACATGCAGAGAAACACAAATTAAATATATATATGAATTAAAACTGAAATGTATTGAATGATATATTTAATGCATTATACCTTGGAAACATATTTAAATAGGGTATTTGTGGTTAACTTTTTTCTCCAAATAAAGATATAATGCTCACTGGTCATCCTTTGCTTTTAGCGGTTTTTCTTCAACTTCCTCCAATCAGTCAGTGTCTGAGACTTAAAGTGCTTCATGTTTACAATCGTGCTTGGGGCAACAACCATAGTTGGACATTTGGATTAAATCACATTTTGTGATAAAAATCAGTCAGTTTATGAAACTGCATACTTCATTTTTGCTTCTTGTCCTTGAAGCTTTGTGGCTCAAAATGACAGCAGGTCAGTACAGCAGAGCTGGTTGGTGATCTAAGGACTCTGCAGGTAACAAACTGATATAAAACATCTATCAGCTGGATGAACATTGATGAGATGATTCAACCAAAAGTATGTTCAGTTTGTTTTACCCTGAAAAAATTAGCCTCATGTGCTTCCGTTCCAAAGAAACCATACCATGCCATAGTTTTACTCAAGATTAACATATATTTTTTATAACTCTTTAAAATTTTCCTTCCGGTCATGCAGGTGGCGCAGCGTTAGCCAGCACAACCCATGTATGGAGGCCTTAGACCTTAACGTGGCTGACCCGGGTTCAATCTGACCTGTGGTCCTTTGCCGCATGTATCTCCCCTTCTCTCATGCCCCCTTTCCTGTCAGCCCACCGTCCAAAAAAATGAGCCACTAGTGCTGTGAAAACTGAAAAAAAAAACAAAAAACGTTCCTTCCATCTTCTTGAATTTAACATCAGTAAAAAGATCTGTATCTCAAATGTGGCAGAAATTAAAGGATCAGATTAGGAATGAGTTGCTGTTTAAATGAGAAAGTCTGGCTGCTTCCATTAATACTCAAAGATCAATTCTTTCTATTATGTCTGCTTTGATTAGATCCTCCAGTATCATAACCCTAAAATATGGCATCCCCCAGAGGTCAAAAATGTGATAAAAGTAAGACAAATAAAACATGACATCAGCTTTGGTCCAGTGTAGTTTAGGTTTAGCTGACTAAGCAGCTTGGCCTGGCCTAGTTTACTGCTAATCATCAAACAACAGTGATTAAACTGAAGTGTTTCTGCTTTGCATGGTCATGACTCAAAATCACTGTTTTGTCTTTGTGTTTCTTCAGATGTTAGTAGCGTTTTTCCAATGCTGGAGAGGTGTATTGCCTTAAAGAAAAATAAAAAAGAAGAAACTAATGAGCTTAAACAGGAAAAAAAAATATGATTTATAATGTTCAGGAAATATACAGGATATATCAGATCAGTAGAGATTATAAAAAAAAGAAAATATATATATATCACTATAACTGAGGAATAAAAAAAAAATATCTAAAGGTAGCATCTTGGATTTTGATTCCTGTGAATAATTAAAGAACATTTATATGAATCAGCAACAAATGTTGCCTTAAAGGAAAATGGAAAAAAAGAAGAAACTAAGAAGCTTTAAAAGGAGTAAAAGATATGATTTATAGTATAAACCACACCAGCAGAGATTGTAAAAAAAAAAGAAGAAAGAAATATATCTATCCGTATCACTGAGGAATAAAAAAAAAAATACTTATAACTGAAAGTAGCATCTTGTAATGTTATTGATTTCTGTGAATAATTGAAGAACAAATATATAAAAATTTAGCAACAAATGTTACTGTGATTTTAATAAGGTAAAATTCAATAATTCATAGATGTACCTTTGCTGAAAACTACGCAGGAAAATAGCAATGATAACCATCATCAGCATCAGGAATGGAAAAATTAAAGGCCATCCTGGAGAAAGAAGTTGACATTTTTCTCAACAATGGAACAAACTGGGAAAAAACCTAAACAATGTGGGAATCTGAATATAACTTACTGGAATCTCTGAGAGATGGGTCTGATTGTTTTTCTAAACCTGATAAAAAATAAAATAGAAAATCAGAAACAGGTGTGCATCTCATTCACAGAGCCTAAAAGTAAAAGTCTGAACTATTCAAGTTGTAAGTTTTCCACATTTTCTCCGATACACCAACAAACAGCAGGATTTAGTAGTGGTGTTAAGATGGGATATAAATATCAGATATTGATCTGATATTGTCAAAAAAACAAATCTTCTATTTTATCGACCTGCATCTAAAATCTATGATATTTTTATGCTGATAGAAACAATCTGCTTCTGTTGATAATATCACCTTATCAAACCTTTGCTAACATTCTACAGTACGTAATAAGATATAAAAGAATCTATGATTCATGCTTATATCCTATCAGGTCAATATCAGTATTGGTCAATTCTAAAAGCTCCAATATTGGTGTCTTATTACAAATGAAAAAGTTGTATCAGGACAGCCCTAGATTTTAATGAGATTTTATTAGGTTAGATTTTTACTTCTTCTTCCAAACTATTATCTGTTTGTAT